TGGTAGTACTCCTTTTTCTATTTTTTGAAAGAGCTTGTGCAGGTTAGGTACTAATTCATTTCTGAATGTTTGGTAGAATTCATTTGTAGAGCCAGCTGGTCCTGGGCTTTTGTTTTTGGGGATTGATTTGAATACTACTCAGCAATCAAAAAAAAAAAACTCATGCCATTCACAGCAATATGGGTGGAGCTGGAAGGGATTATGCTCAGTGAAATAAATCAGAAGGTAAAAGAAAAATGACGAAGGGTTTCACTTATAGGAGGAATATAAAAGAACCAAATAAAACATGGGGGAGGGACTGTATTGTTATTATAATACAAAACAAAACAAAAACAAACAGGCAATTATAAACCAGAGATATCCTACAGGGGAGGGGGACAGACAGGGATAGGAAGGAGGGAGTAATGTGGGGACTATGGTTATGACAGGTTGGCAAAGTAGGGGAAGAGGGGAGTAAACATTGTTTTAAGATGAACAATGTAAATAAATTTACAAATGAAACTCAAAAGTGCTATAAAATACAGTAACCATAATGTAAATAGATATATAAATTAAGAGAAAAAAAAACAAGAAAAAGTAAAATTTTTAGCTGCAAAAATCAAAAAGAAAGTAAATATGAAAAACATAAATACAGGGTAGAAATCAGACCAAACATATAAGTTATCATAATGAATGTGAGTCAAATTTCCTTGTAACAACAGCAAAAAGACTCCATCTCCTTTTCTTCAAAAATACTTACTTTGCAATGAAAATGTGAGGTTTGGATGGAAGAGGTCTGTCCATTTTACTCAGCAATTTCCATCTACCTAACTTCCCTGAAAACAGGCCTGCACTGTACACAGGCGCACAATCAAAGAAAATATATCACTTAGAGAGGGGAAAAAACACCTTTCTCAGAAAAAAAAAAAAAGGGAAGGGAAGGAGAGAAAAAGAAACAAGAACAGTTACCAGTCGGCGAACACAGGAGCTGCTTCTAATCTTCTTAGCAATGAGAAAAAAACAGAGAAAACAGCTACCATTTTGTAGCCAGTAGGACTTAGTTCCTAATCTGGTTCACTAACTATCTGCCTATAATATGACCCTGAAAGATCTTCTTTAATTTCTCTCAGCCTCAATGTATAGGAGAAACTCACCCATTGTCACAGGAGAAGTCAAAAGTGGATCTCTTCATTCACATACCATCTACCACAGTCTTGCCCACTCCACACTCCTCTGTACCCTGGCATGTATTCCATCCAGTATCCTGCCTCTGCTCCTGCATGATACTGCCCCATATGCCCTGGGAAACTGCCACTTGGGAGATTAGGATATCTCTTATTATTCCATCTCTCCTTGTGAACAAGTCTCCAACTTCCTGCCTCAATGGACAGGCAGTATTCACCCAGGTCACTGCTTCACCTGAAGGCCTTTGGAAAAGTGACTGTTTCTCTGACACACGAATAACTTGCAGCCTTAGCAGACTTAGGATACCTTAGGAGGTATCCTCTGGACTCACCATTGCCTAACCTAGGCTATTTCTCCCTTTTGTTAAAAAAGATGGGGAAGGGTCTGGCAAGATGGCAGGTGACTGGAAAGCCTACAGATCACCTCCTCCAGACACTCACAACTGAACTGCTAGTAAAGAAAGCCAAATTGGGCAGCTGCAGGGAACACAAACTAGCTGTCTTACTTCTACTATTTAGGCCAAAGAAAGCTAAACAATGACCTATTCCAGGGCAAGCTATTCCAAGAATGTGGGGGCTGTTCACTGTCACCAGGATGCAAAGGTATGACAGAAGAGGAAGTTCAACTCTCAAAACAAAAGGGTGAGTGGGAGAGAAAGTATAGAACACAGTGGAAACCTCAGTTCATACCTACCTTATGGGACAAGGAGCAAAA